GGGATACATGGAATTAAAAATCTCTTGTAGAGATTATTCCAATTTTATATCTTGGCCGTGTCCAAGTAAAAATTTGGTGCTTTGTGCACAGGTATTTAATTCTAACGAAAAAAATTTAGTTTCGTTTAGAATAACGCACTGTCATCCGCGATTTGGCTCTTATTGCCTATCTTATATATGTTAAATTTATATTTATATATTACAGAGCCTAGTTAAACTCTTAATTTATACACGCTGGCTTAAAGGCGTTTATTTACCAACATTAATATATATAACAGAGAAAAGTATAGAATCGAAAGGATCTGAATAGCTCAGTTGGAAGAGCAGTCGCCCGGCAAGCGAAAGGTCTCGGGTTCGATTCCCGATTCTGCGACTTTCGGATCTATATTTTTCTCTCGCACTTTATTTCTTTAGGGGGAATAGGGGATACATGGAATTAAAAATCTCTTGTAGAGATTATTCCAATTTTATATCTTGGCCGTGTCCAAGTAAAAATTTGGTGCTTTGTGCACAGGTATTTAATTCTAACGAAAAAATTTAGTTTCGTTTAGAATAACGCACTGTCATCCGCGATTTGGCTCTTATTGCCTATCTTATATATGTTAAATTTATATTTATATATTACAGAGCCTAGTTAAACTCTTAATTTATACACGCTGGCTTAAAGGCGTTTATTTACCAACATTAATATATATAACAGAGAAAAGTATAGAATCGAAAGGATCTGAATAGCTCAGTTGGAAGAGCAGTCGCCCGGCAAGCGAAAGGTCTCGGGTTCGATTCCCGATTCTGCGACTTTCGGATCTATATTTTTCTCTCGCACTTTATTTCTTTAGGGGGAATAGGGGATACATGGAATTAAAAATCTCTTGTAGAGATTATTCCAATTTTATATCTTGGCCGTGTCCAAGTAAAAATTTGGTGCTTTGTGCACAGGTATTTAATTCTAACGAAAAAAAATTTAGTTTCGTTTAGAATAACGCACTGTCATCCGCGATTTGGCTCTTATTGCCTATCTTATATATGTTAAATTTATATTTATATATTACAGAGCCTAGTTAAACTCTTAATTTATACACGCTGGCTTAAAGGCGTTTATTTACCAACATTAATATATATAACAGAGAAAAGTATAGAATCGAAAGGATCTGAATAGCTCAGTTGGAAGAGCAGTCGCCCGGCAAGCGAAAGGTCTCGGGTTCGATTCCCGATTCTGCGACTTTCGGATCTATATTTTTCTCTCGCACTTTATTTCTTTAGGGGGAATAGGGGATACATGGAATTAAAAATCTCTTGTAGAGATTATTCCAATTTTATATCTTGGCCGTGTCCAAGTAAAAATTTGGTGCTTTGTGCACAGGTATTTAATTCTAACGAAAAAATTTAGTTTCGTTTAGAATAACGCACTGTCATCCGCGATTTGGCTCTTATTGCCTATCTTATATATGTTAAATTTATATTTATATATTACAGAGCCTAGTTAAACTCTTAATTTATACACGCTGGCTTAAAGGCGTTTATTTACCAACATTAATATATATAACAGAGAAAAGTATAGAATCGAAAGGATCTGAATAGCTCAGTTGGAAGAGCAGTCGCCCGGCAAGCGAAAGGTCTCGGGTTCGATTCCCGATTCTGCGACTTTCGGATCTATATTTTTCTCTCGCACTTTATTTCTTTAGGGGGAATAGGGGATACATGGAATTAAAAATCTCTTGTAGAGATTATTCCAATTTTATATCTTGGCCGTGTCCAAGTAAAAATTTGGTGCTTTGTGCACAGGTATTTAATTCTAACGAAAAAATTTAGTTTCGTTTAGAATAACGCACTGTCATCCGCGATTTGGCTCTTATTGCCTATCTTATATATGTTAAATTTATATTTATATATTACAGAGCCTAGTTAAACTCTTAATTTATACACGCTGGCTTAAAGGCGTTTATTTACCAACATTAATATATATAACAGAGAAAAGTATAGAATCGAAAGGATCTGAATAGCTCAGTTGGAAGAGCAGTCGCCCGGCAAGCGAAAGGTCTCGGGTTCGATTCCCGATTCTGCGACTTTCGGATCTATATTTTTCTCTCGCACTTTATTTCTTTAGGGGGAATAGGGGATACATGGAATTAAAAATCTCTTGTAGAGATTATTCCAATTTTATATCTTGGCCGTGTCCAAGTAAAAATTTGGTGCTTTGTGCACAGGTATTTAATTCTAACGAAAAAATTTAGTTTCGTTTAGAATAACGCACTGTCATCCGCGATTTGGCTCTTATTGCCTATCTTATATATGTTAAATTTATATTTATATATTACAGAGCCTAGTTAAACTCTTAATTTATACACGCTGGCTTAAAGGCGTTTATTTACCAACATTAATATATATAACAGAGAAAAGTATAGAATCGAAAGGATCTGAATAGCTCAGTTGGAAGAGCAGTCGCCCGGCAAGCGAAAGGTCTCGGGTTCGATTCCTGATTCTGCGACTTTCGGATCTATATTTTTCTCTCGCACTTTATTTCTTTAGGGGGAATAGGGGATACATGGAATTAAAAATCTCTTGTAGAGATTATTCCAATTTTATATCTTGGCCGTGTCCAAGTAAAAATTTGGTGCTTTGTGCACAGGTATTTAATTCTAACGAAAAAATTTAGTTTCGTTTAGAATAACGCACTGTCATCCGCGATTTGGCTCTTATTGCCTATCTTATATATGTTAAATTTATATTTATATATTACAGAGCCTAGTTAAACTCTTAATTTATACACGCTGGCTTAAAGGCGTTTATTTACCAACATTAAATATATAACAGAGAAAAGTATAGAATCGAAAGGATCTGAATAGCTCAGTTGGAAGAGCAGTCGCCCGGCAAGCGAAAGGTCTCGGGTTCGATTCCCGATTCTGCGACTTTCGGATCTATATTTTTCTCTCGCACTTTATTTCTTTAGGGGGGATAGGGGATACATGGAATTAAAAATCTCTTGTAGAGATTATTCCAATTTTATATCTTGGCCGTGTCCAAGTAAAAATTTGGTGCTTTGTGCACAGGTATTTAATTCTAACGAAAAAATTTAGTTTCGTTTAGAATAACGCACTGTCATCCGCGATTTGGCTCTTATTGCCTATCTTATATATGTTAAATTTATATTTATATAATATATATAGATTGGTTTCAGAAAAAAAACATTTTCGGGTAGAACACTCTCATATCATTCAAATCATCCTATATGCCACAAAAAAAGTGTAATATATAATTTAGTAGACCGGTCAATATTATTATCACATCCCCGTTTTCATAGTAAAAATTTAACATTAATCATAGAGATTTTATTGAGCAATAGTTATCCTCTTGATCTCATTTTCTCAGAAATCAATAATAGACTGAACTTCCTTATTGTTAATAGATTAAACAAAGAAATGACTCAAGATATAAATAACGAAATCATAAATAACGACAAATATAAAAAATTTATAGCGATACCATATATTGAAAGAATCTCGGAACTAGTAACATCAGAATTAAAGAAATCAAATATAACAGTAGGATACAGATGTCTAAAAAAATTAAACAGAGTCATAAAAACGCAAAAAGACAGGGATAAGCTCCAAAATAATTCGGGGGTCATATATAAGATATCGTGTAATAATTGTGATGCTACATATGTAGGACAGACGAAAAGACAATTAGGTACAAGAGTAAATGAACATAAAAATAATATTAGATTAGATTTTGCAAGGCACTCGGTGGTTTCTGATCATATTGTAAAATTTACACACAATTTCAATTGGAACGACACAAAAATCCTAGATTATGAAAAGAATTATTATAAAAGGTTGATATCAGAAATGATATATATTAAAGAAGAAAACAACAGTATCAACCTAAAAAAGGACACCGAGCGTCTTGGCAGTTCTTATTTTGATATTCTAAAAAAATTGTCTACGTCATCTTAAAAATTGGGTATATATACAGCGCGCCGACATTGTGAGATACAGATATCGATTTGTTTTTTAAAAAAGTACACATTGTGATTATGTTATGTAAAAAGAAATAATTTTTTAAAAAAAGTGTTATGTTCGTGACAAAAAAGTAAGTTAATACTATTTATTAAAAATCTAAAATGTAATATTTGAGCGGATATATTAATTTGTTCACAGTGTCGTTACATAATATAACAGCATGACATACATCTAAATCTGACGCTCTAACTCAAGCCAACAAACATGAATTTTGTACTGCGTTCGTCATATGATAATCTCATAAATGTTGTATTTATAATAAGGTCGATATGACTAAATTAATTTTTTGACATATTAGCATGATATTGAAAAAGACTGTCGTACAGTCGAAACGTTAATCTTATCTTTTGTATATTATGACGTAAATTAATAAAAAAATTTTTTAATTAATATCATATAAGTTCGTTAAGTTGGCCTTTTTATATCACATATTTTACTATGAATGATTTCAATTATTAAAAGAAGTCATTTATTATTATATTTGTATGTTTCAGACACGCACAAAAGTCTAGCAGTACTAGTGAGATCACCAAATATCAAATTATCACAGGATAAAGCACTAGGACGCAGACATGGCTGCGCAGGGAATGTTATTTATCCAAATTTAATATGTTTAATGGTGTAAGTATTTTGATATCTATTTAGTAATTAAATATTGTCTTATTATATTATAATAGATGTATTATTTAGGTCAGATTGCTTTAATGTTTGTTAATATATAGTTATATAAGATTCTGCTTATCGCAGCACATATTTATTTAATTCACTGCACACTTAGAGTGATTATTATACTTATATGAGATTTTAACTGAAAGTATTAGTGTTTTACATCTAATCACTATTATTCAATGTTATTGCAAAGAATAGCTGCTAACTACCAATATTGTATATAATTACATAGTATAATATGTAAAATTTTCTATTAGTAGAGTGTCATATACTAAATATTTGTATTTTCATATGAATACCAGGGGACGGTAATAAGTGAAGTGCCATCAATTGACTCAAAAGGACTTTTGGAATAATACACTGAGATATGGATATAATGACGGAGAAAAAATCACACATCTAACACACCATATACGTTGCTAATGTAAGAGACTAATATTTATCAATAAGCATCTATAGGATGATTGATTTATCCTGTGCAGTATGTAATAGATATATTTTCAGAAATATTTACTTTTTGATTACTATTAACGATAGTTAAGTATTTAAAGTTTATGTTACTTGCAGTTAACGTTTTAGGCACACTAGTTTGTACAAGCGTATATAATACTGTTTTTCTCAACACATATTTCTTTATCTATAAAGTCGTGTAAAAGTTATTTTACTTATATTAAATTTTTGGTATTATAGAGCTTTACAGTTAATAAATTCATAATTTCAGTATATATAATTACTGTTATTAACAAAATTCCTTTACTAGTTATTTATATAATAGATTCCACATATTTCCCGTCACTACATACACATAATAGATCCATTGCTTCGGATCAAATTACTTTAGATTATTATTAATGATATTAAAAATGTTTTAAGGTTTATAACACTCAGTATTAATATTTTATGGACACAATAATTTATGCAGTTATATAAGATTTGTTTATCACTAGCACTTTTACTTTAATTCTCTGTGCACAAAGAGTAATTGTTCCACCTATATAATGCTTAGTTAGGAAAGATTATAAATTTTTAATGTACTAATCAATGTTATTATAGAGACAACTAATAACTGTCAATATTATATAATATGCAGTTACGTAGCACAGTATATGAAATTATTATTATTAATAGAATGTCATGTGCCAATTACTTATATATTTCCATACACATGTCCAGGGACAAAAGTGCACGGAATACCAGCAACCGACTCAAAAGCATCACAGAGTTAAGGCACTGAGGTACATATATAAGGAAGTATCACACCGCCAATACTCCGCATGTACTAATAATGTAAGAACTTAATGTCTATCAATAATTATTTGTAAAATGACCACTTGTCTCACGTTAGCATTTTAGTTATAATAATTTATGCAAACATGTGTAATGTTTTTTGATTAAACGCGTATTTCTTTGTTCATATACACAAAAGTAATTATATCACTTATATGATATAATGTTATGGAACTTTACACAGTAGTTAATAAATTCACGATTTTAGTCTATATTGTTATTATTTTAATAGAACGTCTTTTGCTATTTGTTTATGTGTTTGTCTCGACACATATTACCTTCATACATACATATGGTAATATTTCTAATCAATAAGTAAGTTATATGGTCATTATAGGTCTATAAAGTTATCTTTAGGTAACTCTATGTGCCCATGTATAAACTTTAAACAACCACACATATCACATATATAACCACTTATCTTTTGTAGGAGCATCAAGATGGTAATGGAGAATTGCTTCGCGTGGATCGCCAGCATCTTCCAGAGAGCTCGTATGTCGTAGCACTTTTGAAGGAGTCCAGATTAATGAGGCCAGATTACAGCATCAAAGGGATGACAGATTCACACAATCATGTGTCACCATATAATTTTACACACGTTAACTATCATGCTGTTATATGTCAGTTATGATTATCGTCACTAACTGGATTGCAGATTACACACTATTATAAGAGTTTAGCTAATTTAATAGCGGCCCATACTTAATTCTTAATATATCAAAGTTTCAAAAATACTATCAGTTTACAAGGATATGCAATTATTTGAAAATGTAGTCAATTAACTATCTTTTCTCAGTTATTAATTAATACAGCTAACTGACTAAAGTCTACAGTTTTAAGATCAAGTATAATTAATTATTAATTGATGTTTTCAGAAAAATATAAAGAAAGTATATCATATTGCAACACAGACTGTGTAAAAATGACTGCTAACCAATCACTATGTAGTACTTATACAATATTAAATAATCTAAATGTTATAGATCATTTATTCAGGGTATACATAGTATGAGAACACATCTATATCTATAGAACTATAGTTTATAAAGTAATGCTTATTCAAATCACTATTCACTATTCTTATCTTAAAAGTATAAACGG